GTGGACTTTTAATTAATTACGTTAATTAGTTAATTCTAATTAAATGCGAATTTTGTTGACGGGGTTTTTGTAATTTTACACTCATTGTTTATAATTTTTTAATTTTTGCTTAAAGTATGTCTCGAATTGCCGTGGACACTCAAAACCACTAAATTTGAAGTGTATTTATTAAAATAAAAAATAATTATTTTAGATTTTTTTATTTTAAATGATTTCTATCTGTATTTTTATATAAAATATGTTTCGAATTGTCGTAAATCCCAAGGTCGTTTATTTATCATTATACTGGAATTTTCTTCTGATAAGATAAATAAAAATAAATTTTAATTAATATTAAAAAAAAACTTTTTAAACTCGTACTTTTTGTAATACAAATAACATTTGATTCAAGTTGCTGTAGATAATTAAAGTCACTTAATTAATTTGAAATTAAGTATTTAGTTGACCAAATTTAATTAAAACGAGTTTTGTTAAATTGCTTAGTTCTCAAATATTAATTTTGTTTTTCAGATATTTTTAATACTACTATGTGTCTCAAATTGCAAGTGTGCAATTATTTTGAAATCAAAGTTTCAATTTTAGACTAATTAATTAGATTACATCATAGTTTATTAATTCCACTTAATATCTGTTCCAAATTGACGTAAATAATCAAGCACAGTTAATTGAAAAAATTAAATTGAGAGAAATAAATTAACATTTTTCATGTCATTTTTCGTGACATTTATTAAATATGAGTAATACCAGTGAACTTTTGAGACAATTAAATCGATTCGAGCCTTTAAAAAAAATTAAGACAAAATTACCTATAATTATTGTAGTATCTGTTTCCAGATGCTGTGAATATTTACGCTCAATTAATATACAGGATGGTTAAAAAAACGGTAGGCACTGTAGAATTAGTTTAGTTTTCTAATTTTTTAAAGTCGGGCCATCAGCACCAGCCGTTTTTTTAGAATCATACTGTATATAAATATAGATATTAGTAATGTGTGTTCTGAATTGCCGTGAACTCTTGTAAAAGAAGATTTTTACAATTTTTACAATTTTTAATTAAACAATAGTTATTTATTATACAAGACGATAAAGAAATCGTTTATCTACGAGTGACGAAGTCACGAGTGGACTTTTTTCATGAGTCAATCTTTATTTCATCTACCAGAATTTCTTGAATCAAAACCGTAAATAAAAATTACTTTATTTCACTAGACGAAAAAGACAACTTTATCTACTGAAATTAGTTCATAAAAGCACTCTTCAACATTGAGTACAAAATAATGAAACTGGTTTAAATTGTTGACTTTTTTGAATTTTTTTCAAGTCTTACCAAGTTTGTGCTTAAATCCCTTTGCTCACTCTTAGCACATTACAGGTCGAAAAACACACTTTACAACATCAAGAGTTCACAAAAATGACATAGAATGAAAAGTGGATTTTACAGTTAGTCGACGTAAAAGTCCGTGTTTGGAACGCGTTTTCAGCCTGGACCGTGCCTAACGGCGTTTCGCGTCGTATTGCGAATTCNTTCACTTTCTATCTAAAGTATGTCTCAAATTGATGTAGATATTCAAGGTCAATTTTGACAACTACGGGTCGTTGAACCCACTACCAACCTTGCAAACTAAATTGTCACAACTAAAAAATCCAATTGTGAAAATTTAAAATTTGTTACATATTTTATAAATCTCTTGCGGTCTGGAGCAAAGTAATTTATTTAATATTTTGAATATCTTCTACTTTCTACCTAAAATATGTCTCAAATTGATGTAGATATTCAAGGTCACTTAAGTCACTTTGCAAATTAAATTAATGTATTCAAAAAACTAATTATCCCTAAACTTTTTTTAATCATTCCACATGGTTAATATCTGTGTTTTTATGTATAATTTGGTTCAAATTGCCGTGGCCTCMTATAATCACTAAATAATTACATTAATTAGTCATTTCTAATTGATTTAACAAAGTTTTGATATCTAACACTCACTTTAAATTTTTACTTAAAATATGTCTCGAATTGCCGTGGYCACTTACAGTCATTTCGTAAATATTTTATTAAAAACTAATTATTTTTTTAGTTTTTCAACATTATCGGAATTTTTATGTAATATATGTTCCAAATTGCCGTGAATTCTAAAGGGCGTTTATATATTTATTATTATGTTACTTAAAATATGTGGATACTTACAGACATTTAATTAACTTCGAAAATTTTAAAAATTGGAAATATTTTATTAAAAAACTAATTATTTTTTTCAGTTTTTCATTTATTTTACATCAACTTCATCGGAATTTTTATGTGATATATGTTCCAAATTGCCGTGAATTCTCAAGATCGTTAATATATTTATTGTTACGTTTGCGTGTTTTTCTGATAATTTAAATGAAAATAAATAATAATTATTTGTTTTTATTGGTATTTAAAAAATTATACTTGCACCTTCATGTATAAAAATAGTATCTGGTTCAAGTTGCTATAAATAATCAAAGTCACTTTATTATAATTTGAATTAAATGTATTCAGAAAACCAATTATATTCACGCTTTTCTTACTTCCTTTACTTATTTTACATAATTAATATCGTATTTTTATGTACTTTATAATTCAAATTGCTGTGGACTTTTAATTAATTACGTTAATTAGTTAATTCTAATTAAATGCGAATTTTGT